ACAGAGTTCCACACATGGTGATGCAAACTCCACCCGCTGATGAGGACAGCCAACACGTTTGGACCATCTCGAGGATGGACATTGTATAGCTTTGAAACCTGCTGACACACAAAGAATCAGTGGGTCAAAAATGACTACATTCTGGTAACAACCCATTCTCCTCTTAACTCGTCCCATGCTGAAGCTTTGTTAGGATCCCTTGACCTCACCTTAACGCTGACGTTCCACTGCGACCGCAGTAAAAACGGGGTTAGCTTGACAAAGTGAAAAAAAAGCAATTTGTTTAGCGGGGAAAAAATGATTGTGGCCTTGGGTTAAAAATATTACACAAATGGGAAAGGGAAACTTTACATCGTGGATACAAAAACAGCAATTTGTTAGTTTCACACAGGACAAGAACAGCGGTCTCAGGGTGGTATTCCTGTCCATGTTTAACCCATCCAGCTGGCCTACGCAGGTCTTTTCAGTCTTCATACTACGTCACCTCACTGCCGGAGCGTGATGACTCATTAGGAGAGGTGGTTTCAGATGCTGTTAAAAGATTCATCAAGCAATTCATTTGTAGGCCTCAAGCCCGGCACCTCACATTGGACCGATTTGCCTACACAGATCCTATACTTGCTCTTCATTTAAGTTAAATCTTCTGGTTATTTTTTCTCTCCCCTTCTGGACCTTTTTATCACACAATAGAAAATTGAAAATTTGGTTGTTATTGACAGTTAATGGAAGGAAAATATTTGACTCAAACTCAAAAATACATCTGTAATACTTGTGCATATGTGTATACTTGTGCAGCAAATCCTGCAGCAAACCTAACCTCATTATCTAAGGTGGGGCTTGTTTCTTTGATGTCTGACAGTTATCAGTATTTTCCACACATCAGTCCCCCACCTGCAAGTACCTATCATCCAGATAGAGCCCAGGGGATCAACTCCATCTGAAGCAACAACATTGTTCCTTCAACCTATTTTTCTGCACAGAGAAAACAAATGCATTACAATCCAAATCCAAATCAATAAAAATACATTTTTCAAAAGCACGACCAGAGACTCAAGGAAGTTTTCCAGTTTTCTCTTACCACTGCCATGGCTGGTGAACCACAGCGGGTAATGCAGTCATTGTTTAAGAGAGTGCAAAACAATTTTCATTCAAAAGTGACACATTCACTAAGTAATGGAAGATCTGTCAGATTTTGACAGCTTAATTGGAGTTTTGAAGATGAACAGATGAAGATTTAAAGATGAAACTGTGGATATTTTTCTGTTCACACACCGACTGTCAAAATGTGCTTTTATTCTTATACCTTTTTTAGCAACTCGGGTGTAAAATTCAAAGGGTCTGTTTAACAAACACTAAAATTAACACTTTTAGTTTTAAGCAAGTATTCTCTTCTGAACGCAATACACATAATGCAGTAATAATCCATGCAATAAAGTGGGCAAGCAGGCTGGGAGATGAAGCCCCACCCACTTCCATAAGACAAACGCCTCAAAAACCATGACCACTGGGTAGCTTGGGACATATCAATAGGATTTGATACATTTCCTGTTCATCAGACCAGAACTGGGAGAGGATGAAGCACAGACGTTTAGCCATATTATTTTACAGACATTTGCAAGACAAATTCTCCAGAAAGGCCCCACGGCCAGAAAACATGGCCGAGCTAGCAACTCGGCGACTATTAACATCAATCCCCAAAGCAGCCCCTACCTTTCTTGGGCATAGCTTGAAGCATTAGTTCACCTTTTAATGGGTGAGTTATAAAAGAATACTCTCTACACAGTTGTCTTGAATGTTTGAATTAGTTAACAAGACCAACGCATTGTTTGAAGCAGACTGTGAAGACGAACATTTCAACGTGAGGGTCTGCAGGGACTCACTCACTTCTGAAGACCAATGGAGGAAATTCCGTTTTTGGCCCCTCGTGGTTGGCTTTGCTTTTTTGTTGATGCCCATTTTGTAGGCACACACATGCTCACGTCTCACACTCACATTTGCAGTGAACATTTCTTTGTTGGAAATAAATGAAAGATGCCCAAAAGAAACTTGTAGTTTATGATACTGTTGGAAACACGGCCAGACATTATGACCTTGCCGTTAGTTGCAGCATTTCTAATAAGGTGTTTGATGGCAGCGAGATTGCGTGTCCTTCAACAACATATTGTGAACAATACTTGTCCCTTGTGAACTTACATGTGTTTTCTGATGATGTACAGTAGTCAAATGTGCTTTCTGTTCAAAAACATGACGGTGTACTGATAGTTTGTCTATATCCAGAGCGGATAAGGTTAGATGTATCATCAATAAATAATAGCCACATGAATTACCCGAGAACAGTCAAATTAATTACGACCCACACTCAATTGTCTTATCTCACGTTACATACAAGGCAAGTATTACTGTTCACTAGAAGAGTTCTTCTGTGCACATTTCTGTGCACAAGATCTTTGTCTTAATTTTCAGTTTTCTATCTTGCTTGTTCTTGGCTGTTTCAATTGAAATATAAATTGAATGTTTGCTATGTTCCTTGCTCACACCAGGGAGTTTCTGATTCACGTCGCTCCTGCATCAACCATCGGCAATGTGCGGCTATAAATCAGTCGTCCCTGTGTATTAATTCCATGCAGACAATCAACCTCTTCTCTAATATATTCATGCATCTCAGCGTCACGTTTGCTGCTGGATGCCTAATCAAAGTGTGAGGAGCGTCCACAGTGACTGACCTCCCCACCCATGTTATCCCATTACCTATGCAGCAGTGATAATCACAACAAACACCTGCCTCTGTGGACCGCCGTCCTATCAGTCCACTCTCCCTATATCTCTTCATCTCTCTCCCAACTTCAGCAGCACCCTACTCCCTTCACCTCCTGCTCCTCCTCCTACGTGGTAACTCCCTCGCATGGTTCCAACAGCTCCATCACCTCTCTCTCTCTCTCTCTCTCTCTCTCTCTCTCTCTCTCTCTCTCTCTCTTTCTCCTCACCTCCCTCTTCCGTCTGTTAATTGGATGAGCTGTCACAGTTGTGAGGATGATTAAATTCCAGTCCGGATTGGCTTTGTGAGCACACAGAGCTCCCGTTGGTAGGGACGTGTAAACTGTATTATTGTAAACCTGTCCACAGTCACCTCACCTGCACGGGGACTCAAACAGGACCTCTTCCCTTTATGCCTCCAACAGTCCAACAGTCAGACATGACATTGTTTGAACTTGAGGCTATGAATTCTTAGAGATAATAATAAAATAAAATAAATAGAAAATACACGTCAATGGAAAGCTTACTTTAACGACCCTCCGGTTAATGGGAATTGTTAACTTGAATTAATTAAACGATTAGAGGAATAACACTTGCCACAGAAGACAGACTGAGATACCCCCCCGCCCCCAAGGGAAAAAGATTAGCATTTGCCAAAAGCACATGAGTAAACAAAATGAACTCATTGTCGAAGGAATAAAAGCACTAAGGCAAATCGAGCCCTGCTGAGGGGCGCTGCTGCTGAACCTGATGCTGCAGCGGATCCTCGACTCACCCTGAACACACTACACTTTAAAAAAGAGCTTTTCTGATGGAAATCAGTGCTGCCCCCGGGTCACACGCCTCATTTCATTCACGTTTTGTAAACAGTATTTTCTTTGAGCTGTAGGAACAGGCCACATACAGCATTACATTATATATCAGGCATCGGGTGCGAGTGTTGCCACAGTCTTTATAAAAACGGACAAGCGCAGTGAATTCATAGAATGAAATAGATTTGCAATAGGTTTCCTCAACATGTCAAATTTGCACTTAGCATGATTGAAAATACATTAAAAAAATGAGTAATTCAAGAAGTTGTGCAGTAATGTGGTCAAATGTCCTGGCAGATAATGACACTTTTAACAGGGAAGTGCGGGATCAGTGGCTTTTAATGCCTCCTTTTCTGTTCATTTCAAACTCCATTTTAAATGTGAAGAGTTCACAAGATGAGTCAAACCAAACAAGACACTTAAAAGAGCAATGTTGACCTAACCAGATGGAAAATAACATTTCATGGAGATTGAATCAACCACTTTGCCTTCTTCTTCACCCGATGAGCGTGGGTGTGGCCGCGTTCATTTCCACATTGATGGAGATTTTAGTTTCTTGAAAATTTGCCTCCACAAATCGGCAATTACCATCTGTTGTCCTTTCAAATTCTGCATGACCCCTAGTTTACATGTCCAGACAGGGAGTCAGCAGTCAACATGATGCCATAAGACAGAAGTTTGTATACATGCGCTCTTATCATTTACAAGATCAGAAAATATATTTTTTCACATGGCATTATCTGGCAAAATGATGACAGTTTTGAAGGGAAAAGCAACACCTACAAATGCTGGAAACGGTATTACATCATATGTCAATTTATTACTATTATTGAGTTTTATTACTATTATTGAGTTTGGATCAAAGTTGTTATTGCGTTTCGGGAAATGATTGAATTCACTGCTGCTAGACTGCAACGCAGTTATGTGAACAAACTGCGTAAATTCAAGTGCGTCATCACACACCTGCCTGACCATTGCGTTATCACGTCATCGTAGAAACTATGGAAGTATCTCATCCGACCCTTTGACATGATATGTGGGTGTCACTCACAATGTCCCAGAAGAAGAAGAAGAAGAAGAAGAAGAAGAAGAAGAAGAAGAAGAAGAAGAAGAAGAAGAAGAAGAAGAAGAAGAAGAAGAAGAAGAAGAAGGCCTGCTTCAAAGGGCTTCACATATTCACTAAGGAAAACATACGTGTACACCAGGGAGCTCCCTCATTGAATACTGTCAGCTAACATCAGGCCCGTTTATTATATTTCATCTCATTTATGACTATGACATTTAATGATGACGTATGTCTGAATAAAGTCACATTCAGAAGGTCCAGTGACGCACGTGTCTTCTACAAGCTGTAACTCCACCGCGTCTCGAGTAATCACACTACCGCCGTGGCTCGTATTTATAGACGCGCACTCTGGGCGGGAGGACTCGCGAGGACGAACAAGCTGCAGGGCTGAGCGCGCGCACAGATTTGGGTCACGCGCTATGAAGAAGCAGTGCGCGCACAGAACAGCTGCTTCCCGCGCCTCGAGCCTTCTCCGTTTAGTTGTTCCTTTTGTTTTCAAGTTGAATATCGTCGGTTCTTTGAACGCACTCGTGAGTCTCACATAGATTCCCGCAGGCTCGCCATGATGAAGTTTGTCATTTTACCGCTTTTAATGTTTTTTTGCGCCGTCGCACAAGTTTTTTGCGAGGAAAACGAGCCAAAAGAAGAGGCTGACTACTGGACCAACAGTAACGAGATTCAGGTAATATGCCGCTAAATGTAAATGTAATTATATATATATATATATATATATATATATATATATATATATACGGAATTAATATTTGATTTGTTTATTCATCTTGGATCTGGAATAAAGCTGCTTAAAAGCTATACACAGTACTATTCATTTATTTAATCCAAATATAAAATGAAAAATTTTAAAGTAAAGGGTCCGAGTTTACTGATATAAAGTATATTTAAGCCAAATGATGTTAGATTTCGGTGGATAAAGCTGAGAAACCGTTATGATATTATTTGGGGAATGTTATTAGAGGTGTGGGTTATTATCACTCTTTCTTTTACACTTTTTGTTATGTGCTCTGGTGGATATTTGTTATCTTCTACTCATGATTTGCTCTCTCTCCATTTAGCCATCAATTTGAGCGGAGTATGATGAATTGATCCTCAGACTGCCAACACGCAGTGTCACACTTCTATGCCTCAGTTCATTGAAAGCAGCTGTCTCACTGATCACTTTCACTTTTCCTACAAAGAAAAGCTCCAGTGAGATAAGGACCCTCTCTGTCCTCCGTGCAGATCATTACCAATCTAGAGTAACATCAAATGCTTCTTCTCTCAAGGAAATATGTTCAAATTGATCCGAGAACCCTCTTGAAGCAAATTGATTTGGATCAGGAGAAACCCTCTTTAAACATTAAACAAATAAGAGTTGAGCGTCTCGCTCGAAGCAGGGAAATTAAATCAACCCTTAAGTGCACAGCGTAGCGGCGGCTGGAGCCCGAACGGTCTCCATCCACATGAAACGCACGTCCTGCGTTTGACATTGCGAGTTGGTAACGCGCCAAGCTGCTCCATCAGCAGCCCCATCAGCAGCCCCATCCGGGCGCGCTGATGAATGAGCCGGCTACACCTTATGCGCACTGAGCGTGTGGGACACTAGTGGCTCAGCTGAAATGAGGACTGCTGTGGAAATATATCCTGAAACCCTGAATGGAGGTTCAGGCTTAATGGATTAGTACTCATTGGCCCTTGTATCACGTCCCATTAAGATGCTTTCAGTGACAGTTACAATTTAGTGACCACCACTCATTTCTAACCAACCAGATAGAAATATATTTCCCTTAGTTCTTGCTTCATTTGAGACGCAGACGTACGCATCAGCTGGTTGTGTTTTTGCCCCCTCAGAACGGCTGGCTGGCCAACGACCCGTTCAGAGAAGTCCTCCTGAGGATGACCAGAAAGCCGCGGCCGCACCAGTTCGTCGGCCTGATGGGGAAACGCTCCATGGGTACGAGTCGCCGTTTGTCTTCTTCCTCTTGGGGACCTGCTGTTGGTAACGTGTCGCTCTCTCTTTTCCTCCCACAGCAAATGCACAGATCACCCGCAAAAGTAAGTAAAACATCCCATTCACCTGGGATTTGATTTATTCCACAAACGCAGTACGAGGGGACACATTAAAAATGTTGTCACTGTCCAGTAAAAAGACGCCCGTCTCCATACGTCATCTTTCGTTGGTATCTGAAGAAATGTGCAGCATTTTGAAACACTGAGGTCGTGAGCCCAGCTTAGCGCCTCCTCACCTCCCGGACACACCAAACATTATCTATCAAAGCTTTCTCGCTTTCTCACACATTCATTGTCAACGCCTTTCCTTAAAAGGGATCACTAACATACCAAGACTTAAAAAATACCCTCAATGGGAGCTCCGCCCCTGCTGCTGCGTCTTGGCTTCGAATAAACTCAATTATTCAGAATGCTTCAAAATATAGAAATGATAAGATTCATTTTAGATCCTCGTACCACATTAGTCAAAATCGGATGAATGAATTTAATTACTGCAGTGAAAGAAACAGCAGTATGTGTTTTAGTGTATTATGTACATATACATATATATATATATATATATATATATATATACACCTTGCTTGTTGAATTCCCCCCATGACAAATGGAACGGCTGAGTCATTTAGTGGCATTTGCAGAGTTCTAAAAAAACTAAAACAAAGAGCGAATTTCCCTCACAATATTATTGAATTAAATTGACTATATTTATTTCCGTCAGGGTTTGAGACAGAGTGGATTGATCGGCGGGAGTTAAACAGGGTTTAATTAGTAGACGACTGGCACAGATGATTGTTTTTGCATTTCCTTTTTTGAATGCACGGCGCCGCAGAGACGTCGGTGTGTGGCGAAGAGATGAAGAGCGCACAGGAGGAGGGGAGGAGGAGGATGAGGAGAAGGGGATTTTCTCTTTTCCATGTCGGCCTGGCATTCCTTTGTTGTCTAAATGAGTCACCCAGTTCAGCTTAAAGTATTCATACATCTCATTTATTCCTCATGCACGCGTGCCTAGAAGTCCCCCATCATTAGGAAGGGGAGCGCGCTGGGTCGATGCCCCAAGGACGCCCACAGCTCAATTGGACTGTTTACGCCTGTGAGGGATGGAGGGGCACGTTACCCCCAGTCTGCCTGTCACACAAGCGTCTTCCTCTGCTTCTCCAGGCCGCTAACCCTCATCAGCCTAATGCACATATTGATGTGTGTAATGTCAGACACTCCCACAGGGCTCTCTATGAATTCATCCCACCGCAGTCCTCCTCCTTCTCCTGATCATATTACAGTCCATTACTCTGATTGACAGGCCGCCCCGTCAGCCCGTCCGTCACATTTACAACAGTGTAGACCCGACGGGACTGTAGGCATGGGAACAACTATCCCGAATAAAATAACTGTGATTTACAATATTATCTTCAGTTCAATTTGATTCATTTTTTTATCGCCCAAATTGACAAATTATCCTCAGAGGGCTTTACACTCTGAACACTTACAACATCCTCAGAAGAGGAAAAACTGCCCAAAAACCTTTAATAATGGAGGAAAAAAGAAAAAAACATTGTGGAGCCATCGTCAGGATCCTCATCAGGATGGACAGAAAGTAATCATGGTTATAATATAATCTGTAGTAATGAAATTAACTGAGATTCACAATATTATCTCTGATAATGTTGCAAATTAAGGATTAAAATAAACAAAACATGGAACTAAAATACTGGAATAACTTCATCTTACATGTTGAAAAACACATTTTATTGCACCACAAAGGGAACAATTGTGTGTTCTCTTATTAGTGAAAAACAAACGCTAAGTTGTTTCAGCTCATTCTTCCCTTTTCATTCCTGTATTTTAAAAGCAGACTCGGTTATTTACTTCTCTACCACAATAACAAGCTTTTTCACGTGACGGTGTGTACGATTGTGGCGAATGGTGACCTTCATCATTGTGATGACGATGGACTCGTATAGTATCCCATCCTCATAAAGCAGGACCCCCGGCCTCAGGTCTCCCTCCGCTTCTCAACAAACCTGCTGCTGTAAAAACGCTCCGCTGGTCCTTTCAGGGCGTCCCGGGGAGAGAGTACGTTCCCCTGTCACAGGTTGTATGGGATCAATCCTGCGTCTCTAATCTCGGGGGTAGGGGGGCCTTCAAAGGAGACGGCGAGATGGAAGTGAACAGTCTGATGAGGAAAAATCACTTATGAGTGTCGGCCGCACTTCTAATAACAATAACAATGAGTAACAAGCCAGAGGAGTTCAGCTTCAAGAGGTTCATAATCGTACAATGTACAATATACAAATGCAATACAATGATTATTGTTTCTTTGAGATAACGACTAACATTAAAATGTTTGTAGTTTCATCAGAATGATACAGTGTGGGGACTGACATCTGGAGCAATATGTAGAGAACTACTGAACAAATGCTTTCAGACCGTTGCACGTTCCTCAGAGGGGACCACGGCCGCCCTGGAGCAATTTGGACTCTTGACCTCAGTATTTGTAATATGCTGTTCATACTAAATGATAATAATGCTGTTCAGGTAGGACACAGAATGGTTTTCAAATCAGATCCTCTTACTTTGAAGGGCATAAAGTCAACTCTTTTGTTGGACTGATGGGGAAACGGAGCCAAGAAGAGCCAGGTGAGTCACATTCTGCTAAACTCTGCTCAAGTCTGGTGCCACATCTCACTTTGTAAGTGCTGCAAGGACGGGATGAAACTAACGGGCTTCCTCCCTGTGCAGGCTCGTACGAGTGGAGCACATTACAGACGTACGACAAGCGCCGCTAAGCGCCCCCCCCTTCCTCCCCCAGCGGCCTGCATCTCATCGAGCCATTCCTCATCCGAGGGAGTGGATACCCGACGCTGGTTTATGTTTTCACTCAAACTGTGTATAGCTGCTAGTGGAGTAAAAATGATTCTGTTTGCACATTGTAGTGACGTAGCGGTGCTGTGCCTGTGCCAGTCTTCATTTGGTGGCCTCCCCATCAATGTTTTCTGTGAGCGTTTTCCACATCTGCCATGCTACAAAAGACTTAACTGTTGTTGTGAACCATCAAAGCAAGGCTATGCCCTCCAAGTATGTGTATAGTGCCTCATTTCTGATTAATTACTGCTTCTGATTGTCCTCTAAATACAACATTTCGGTTTTCAAGTTCTCCAGATTAACACATGCTACACGACGGGAAACGTGTGTGTGTTCGTCATGGTTCAACAAAAATAAAATTATTTTCTTTACTGGTTCAACTTTCAGCTTTCAAGTTGTGAATTCATTGTGAAAAAGAGTTGAGGTAAGAGCGCTCTCTGGTGGACGACAGAGGCACTGCGCGGAGATGCAACAACAGGGGAAGTTATTGCAGCAGCAAGTAGAAAACAAGTCAGCCAATAATGGTGATGTCAGGTGGACAAGTGGACAGAGATGACTGTCCGTGTCCTGTAGACTGCTCTCGCAGCCCAGCACTTCAACTAAAGGTGGTCCATGTGTTTGAAATCCTTCATGATGAAACTAACCGTTTCTTCATGGATTAGTAAACTAGTCTGAAAATGATTTTTCATTGACAGTAGAAAGAAAAAGATAAAAGTTCTACCCTTCATATGTCGTAAGAGCCAACCCTAACTTCAACATGATGTAACAAACACACGTACAACCCCAGTGGGACAGCAGAGAGGACATGAGACTTGGACATTGTGGACACAATGCACACATCTACTTGTAAGAGGTCTCACACACATTTTGTCATATTCTAGTGAGCAGAATCCATGTGAGGTTCCACCCTCGACCACCAGAGAAACAGCACAAGTTTTCTATACAGGCATCGAACCCACACAGGTCCAGTGATGGTCTAAAGCCGTTCATTGTGCTCCTGTAGAACACTTTCAATAATTAAAATATCGCTCTAAAGCCACCATGACACCGTGTAACCAATCGGGATGGACCGTGAACACGGAGACTCATTCCACTCAAGCCGTGCTTCACTGCAGCTGCTCAGTCACATCTGGAGCTATATATATATATATGATTAATTGTAATCATATATATATATATATGATTACAATTAATCACAGAACTTCAGGCCCCATATTTGTGGGAAATAAATAAAACATGGCTGACATTAGGCCTTTTTGTATTGAGGTAATTCTAAAGTCCATTTCTCCTACAGTGACCAACTGTCTGACAATAGATGCTGAGATATTTCAATTTGAATGAACCATTCTTTCATATTCTCCTTCTACGAGCTGCCACAGAACTATCAGTTGTCCAGTGTGCACACTGTATGAAAGTATTGTGTCGGACTGAGTGACCTGTCTGTTAGAAATTGTTGTAGATGAGAATAATAGTTATTGCAGTTACAGAGCTTAGGAGTTCATCCTGTCAATCATCCTAGCCACCTATGGGGGTGGGTCCAGGTATGAGGGCGCCTGTGATTGGCAGAGAGGGAGCAGGGTGTTGTGATGTGTGTAGATGTCTGTATCGTGTTGACGCTTGTGAGGCTTCGGCCCTCAGCAGCTTGATGAGGCTGCAGTAGATTCACTTTGTTCAGGTTGATTAGTTAGCATGAATCCCTTTCCCAACATAATAAATAACGAGGCAGCACCCTGAGGTCAGGGACCAACAACACAACTATACATTCAGTCTCATGATTGAAATCAACAGTCAAGGTACTATTACCATTAAATTGGCGCAGCCATCATCACGGTACACAAAGGAATCACAGGAAAGTACAACAGAGTTTATTCACTTCTCCCAATACGAATCAGATAGTAAAATTAACAACTAGTGTACAACAAGCCCAACATTGAAATAACAAATACTGAATGAAATCCTTAGATTAGACCTTGTATTGTATGAAATACAAACCGCTACGACTACAGTGGGTTTACAGTCAGGAGGCAGCGTGAGTGACAGCTGATTAGATATCTCTGTGTACTCGATGCTGTCCTCATAAATGAATCAAGGAAGTTGTGTTCACTGCAGACTTGAGGAGAACCGGTTGTGATCGGTCTTTCTTTATCTCACAGCTGTTGTTGTTGTTGTTGTTGGATAGATTATTAAACACAATTTGATTTGAGTTTCTTGTTGGTTTTATATTATGATTTTTTTTTAAATGCGGCTGTAGTTATTGCTCACTAGTAAAAGCGCAAAGACACCTGCTGGTTTGACTGTTAATGATAAAGAGAATAAAACTCAATGTAATGACATTTCACTCCTACAACCCGGCTTCAGTTCCCCACGTCGCCATCTGCCTCTACAAGTGCACACATCCTCCTGCAGCCTGCTTCTACACGTCACAATGTCGGAAGTGGCGCTCGCCTCTTTCGGACCCCGTTTTGTGAGAACACGCCGGCTATAAAAGCGACCCCAGGTTTGTCAAATGGTTACTAAAGCTAAGCTAAGCTTGACAAACAGCGTCCCACTGGCGGCTAGGACGCGACCAAATAGGCAGAACCCGAGCAGGACGCACACGGATCACTGGTCTTTATCGGGCGTGTAGAGGGCCAGGGTGCGGGCCGACGGGTCGCTGGCGTCCGCCCAGCGGGGCATCCAGTAGTGGGAGAGCCACTCGGCCTGGCCCGGGTAGCGCTTCTCAAACACCTGTCGGAAGTAGTAGGCCTCTTTGGAGGGCGGCGGGTTGTGAGGGAACGTCTGGTGAGCCTTCTCCATCTGGTCATCGTTCACCTGAGAGACGACAGAGCGCAGGTCTTACACACACACACACTCACACACACACACACACAGAGAACAGAACGGACTCTGTCTGCGTACATCGGAACACAAGCGTTCAAATGTTTTGCTTATCGCTAAATGGATAATTATCCGAGGTCTCTTTAATAATACAATGCCCTGAAAGATATTTCCATCCCAAATCCCCCACTGCTCCTGCAGCTGTGCTGGTGCATCCACCATGCAGACCCGGCTCCGTTTACACGCGCCGTACATGACTTGTGGTTTCGGAATCATCTGACGACAAACTAGCCTTTTTGTCCAAAATACTCACGCACTTAAATTAGTGTTTTTATCTAACTATTATACTACTTATACTATAACTATTTCAGATAAAGGCATCGCGGACGTGACTTCAATGACACATTTTGTTATTTTTCTCCCAGCAGAAACACTCCTGGTATCATAATCATTTAACACCTTCCGAAATGTTTGACTAGGAGGTCTCCTAGTGGTGGCATCAAAAAGGACACTCGCCCCTTGAAGCCATCGGAATGTTTTAACAAGAATTCTCAGGATTTATTATTTCCATTTTACGACACAGGATGGCCGAATGAACTGTGGTCATAGCAGCGTTAGTTCTGCACAAACACAAATATTGGAAATAGGAATTAAATATGAAATAAACAACAAAATAGATCAAACGTCCTTCCTTACACAGACTAAGAATAAAGGCCTTTGCTTTGGCCGTTATTGGTCAAGCTCGCTGTGCATGAAGAGCGTAAACCTGAACTAACTGTCGAAGCTAAAGACCGGTGTTACGCTCACACGTACCATGGACTCCAGGTGCTCCTGCAGGCACACGTACCACGACTTCTTCACAGACATCATTCCGTCGCTGAAGGCCTCTTTGCGCCTCCACAGGATCTCATCCGGGATCAGGTTGAGGTCTTTGAAGGAGTCTCTGAGGAGATGCTTCTCCACGCCGTGCTGCTTGAGACAGGGGAGCGTTATTATCACTTCAGGAGTTGTACGGTGAGGTACGCACAGTAACCGACCTTGGGGGTCCTCATCTCCTCGGGCAGGGAGAGGTAGTAGGCCGTGAATCTGTGGTCCAGGAACGGCACTCGGAGCTCCAGACTGAAGGAAGGAAAGCAGAGCAGAGACATCTCAATAACACTTGACTGATGAAGTGAAAGGGCTATTAGACATTTGGATAAAAACTGAACTTTTCACTGGTCATCATTGTATATTATCTTCATTTTTGATTCAGTTAAAACCAGCATTGCCTTGGATTCCATTACTGCAGATATTTAGGCCACTATTAAAAAAGGTATAATCAATTACATGTTGCCTTTAATTATAAATGCATTTTTCATTTCATGTGTGCAAGGCAGACAACAACAATCTGTGGCACTAATATCCATCAGTGCAATTATAAGTCATCTCTTGAAGTCATTTCCATGGGGGTGGGGGGTTTACCCGTGTGCAGCAGTGGTGCGGTCGGCGCGGAGCACATCGAACAGGTAGAGCTCCTTCAGCAGTCGGACGCTGTCCTCAGCGGCGGCTTTGGGAGTCGGAGCCTGGAGGAGGAACTAGACCACGTCAGCGTCCACGCTACATGCACGAGGGAGGCTCCTCTCAAACATGCACGCCTCTACGGCCACCTCGCACCTACTTCACCACCTCGCACCTACTTCACCCCGGATTTGTGTTTAGGGTAACTGGATGGATTATTGGTATGACATCAGGTAAAACCTCCAGTCTCTGCACCATCAAATCTTATTGATACTGTGCTGTCGTGTCAGTGGAGCCGTAAGGAACATATTTTTGGTTCGGGAAGACAATCTCAGCCCTGTTCATTCATCAGGGTTCCACATCTCACGCTGCAGACAGCTGTTGGGGGCGTGCGTGTTAAATGAACCAACTATACGTTGGCACTGTTTCTGTAAGCCAATCACACCGTTGCTTTGCTGTAATGGCTTCCTTCTAGGACCCTAAATAAAATGAACAACTGTTTTCTTTTTCTGGCTTGTGAAATGCGATGACGTGTTTGGTTCATGGTTCTTGTGGCGCAGAACTCCCTGTTTCTTCTTCTGTTGCTGGACTCAACAGGCCAAAATAAAATAACGTCCTGCATCTCAAATTTTCACTGTAAAGTGGTTGATTATATCTAGTTATTTTCATATGCTACTGTATATTGTTAAAAACAGAATGAGATTTATCTGATCCCGACTTGCCTTGTGGAAATAGAGGTATCCCTGAGTCAGCTCATCAGAACCCTCCCCAGAGAAGATCACCACGCTGTCGGACTTCTCCTTGATGTACTTTGAGATCAAGTACATCCCTTGAGCGGAGGGAGGAAGGGTTTACATACAAGCATGTGAAATAGTCATTTTCCACAAATAACTGAATAGTGAAGGTGTGTTCATTTTATTTTCTATTAATTATAGCGTGGATAGCAAACTTTAAAAGATGGCTACAATTATAAAGGATGCTGTGAAGAGCTTGTCGTGGTCTGAGCCCCTCGCACTGATTGACCAGCTGTACTGCTGCAACTCGTCTTTGCCTGATCGTCAGTCCTCAAACGTGGAACTTATGCTACGGCTAAAAAAACTGCCATTGCTTGTTTCACAAACTTTCGGGCTCAGAATATCAGCAGGTGTTCTATAGATAAATAATGACAGAAAGCAATGACAAGTTTAACTGTTAAAATAACAAATGACCACATTAACAAAAATGTGGTTACACTTAAATTAAACTGGTAATAATTAGCTTAAAAGCAATTCATCTTATCTTGTTTTTTATAGCGAACGGTTGCGTTGCAGTCATTTATCTGGCTATCGTCATGCTGTGTGATTGGGTTGAGGACTCTAGATGTCCTGTGTGGTGCCTCCGTTGACCTCTTTGGTCAGTGAACTAATCTCACTGGATTCCGCTGTGATTGAAAAGAGCCAATCGGGAGGAAAAGGATGCAGCTGATGCAGCAGACCCATTTTTGTCACATCGATCAGCAGAAATATGAGGCGACCTTTGACAGATGTGGACACAAAGCCGTGAGCGGCTACACAACTGAACTCCTGCACTGCTCCTCCAATACATCATAATAAGTCATGCAATGACCCCCCCCACCCCCCCGTTCCCAAAGCTGCAACCACAGGGGAAACTCTATGTCTATGAACAAAAGCCTCACCGACAGAGGCGCGTATGGTGGTGATGTCATATGTCTCCAGGTGATAGATGACTTCCTCTACAGCTTGGATGCCTTCTTCAGCAGTGAAGTTCACCTCGTGGTGTTCGCTGCCGATGTGGGCTGCAACCTGACCAGAGCAGAGCACACAGTGACCAGAAACCCACCAAAAGTCTGTTGGCTTAGTCCTTTTTTCAAGGAACAAATGTACATCGCACGGAGCGGAGAGGTCGGAAGAAATGGGTCACACTTCACAATAACAGTTATTAATAAATGCAGTTGTTTTACTGTATTATGGAGTTTAGAACACATTTAGAAATCGTTGAAAGGCCTCCGCACGGCAACGGCTGAGCCGGCTGCTGAAATGAGGGGAACCGTGACGGACAACCGACCTTCCGAGCAGCTAAGACGTCTGGGCTGTCCTCTGACCCGATGGCAAATGTCTGGATGGGATACGGCAGCTTCTCCTCCTTGGCCAGCTTCACCAGCGTGGCAGCGACCAAGCTGGAGTCCAGCCCGCCTGAAGGCCACACGAGGGAGGAGCGTCAACGCGAGCGCTCATCAAGAGATATCCAAATCCAGGCTACCGGCAGCCTTACAAATACTGACGATGTCACCGGGCTGCAGAGCTGCTCAGTATCTCCTATTATCTTACCAATAATGTTCATAAGTTAGCTGCATGTTTGTAGTGTTCAGATTCTTGCATCTCGGCTGGAAAGAGAAGCTCTCCATCAGCTGCTACTACACGGGAGTTGTTCTCTCAGACCCATAAACATTTAAATTGCTAAATTGTGTTGCCAAATAAGCTTGGGCATTTGTTAATATTTGGGATCATACAAGGAGAGTCCAATAAAATGTTCTGGAAACAGATCACTTATTCATTTTTATTATCATTATGATTCTCTGGCCAAGGGGAATAAAAAACAGCAAAACAAAGCTACAACCACATCAGTATGAGGCTAAAAGTCCTTGTGAACACCGGTATCGGCCCATTGCTGCGTCCCTACTTATGGTCACGCTTTGCCATAACCGCGTGGTCAGCGCCGACCTTTATAATAGAGAAAGAGAAAAACCATCCCATCGCCACGGCTCACCAAGCTAGCTTAGCTAGGATGAACTGCGATGTGAGGAAACAATGTGGTTAACATAAAGAAACTTTTTTCCATATCTGAAATGACCTGACAGAAGACAGCCGATTCTCCTTTGAGCCATGAGACGTTTCCTCACGGCGCTCTCAAACAGGGCTCTGACGTTGCTCCTCACCGCCTCGTCCTCACAGCCTGCGGAGACACCAAGGCTGTCACCAAAGGTCATCCAAAGGGTTTTCCAAACGGGTGAACAGACACTCGCTCACACGCACTTGCAGGCAGCATCTCCACGGCGTCGTAGACGGCATGCGCCGGCTCTTCTGTGCAGCAGTGAAACGGCTCCATCTGGACCGGCTGAACCTTTCCGTTCGGCTTCAGATCGAAGGCCTCGAAGTGCCCGGGGAGGAGGGCCACGATGTTGGCGGGGGACTCTGCTGCATGGGTGATGTCCGTAAGTCCTGTGATTGGAATAACAACAAGTTGAGCAATGCTTGCAGACAGAGAAGCCGTGAAAAGGGCGCAATAAACTACCCTGTTACCTTTGGCTTCGGAGCACACTGCAAGAAATCCGTCGTCCGTGATGAATTTAAACAAAGGCCGGACGCCGTACGTGTCTCGCCCCAGAAAGACTTTTCTGTTGGCGGTGTCCAGCAAGACAAAAGCAAAGACGCCATCCAGGAGGGAGGCCATCTTCTGGATGCCGAAGCGGTCGTACAGATGGAGCAAGATCTCGCCATCCACTTTTGTCTGGTGATCAAAGTCAAACTGCTTCCTGAGCTGAAAGGAAATCCCACCGGCGGGTTATTAGAGCGACGCCTCCACCGCCTGAAAACTCATGCATTCCACTTTGTTCCCAGCGAGGGGGAGATACCCCTATTAGGAGTCAGGAAACATTTATTGCCAAAATATGTCAAACATACAAGGAATTTGACATGGCGGTTGGTGCGTGACAGTAGACAGTGTAACAATAGACAAGACAGCAGTGCACAAGTAATAAAATAAAACAAAATGAAATCATAATGCTATGGGTTAGTATTATGATATTTTATACATTTTCAAAAACACTGTAGATAATAACAGCAGTTACCGTTGTGTAGAACATTTAACCTTCTTCCTTTGTTAAACAAACTTTACCACACTTATGTCTGGTTTGTTTTTGTTCTCCTCTGCTCTCTGTGTCGCACACAGTGGAGTTCCGCCCCAGCGCACACGCACACACACATCTTTTTTTTCACAGTATCAAATGTAAAAAACATTTAAATTGCCGTAGCAAACGATTTTGTTTAAGTGAAAGAGGAATCTCTGCCGATAAAATAATTAAAAAGTTAAAATATCAGTATTAGCACCTAACCCCGGGTTTTTGTGGCTAAGACCACTAGTAACTGTGTCCTATGTGCAGGTCCTACAGGTGTAATGTGATGCTGGCAGAAAGGGATTATTACACAATAAGCATGTGCTTTTCAGTGTATTATCACCTCAGGCTACGAATCGTTGTTTTCTAGACTAGGTGACTGTAGGTGAGTGGGGAGTACGGTTGTCCTCCAATCAGAGGGTTGTGGGTTCGATCCCAGTCCCGGCTAACCCGCATGTCGTTGTGTCCTTGGGCACAACGACATGCGGGTAAAGCGCTTTGAGTGGTTAGAAGACTAGAAAAGCGCTATACAAGTACAGGCCATTTACCATTTAGACTTAGAAGAGGTGTTTATATCTAGAGAGGGCTCCTTCCTCCTCCTACAGTAGCCCAGAATGGACAAACAAACACGGACCCCATCATAGAACCATCAGCAACCTGCTACCTGGCCACCATGAGCCCCTCCCTCCACACTCTGCCCCTCCACAGTATTCACAACGAAGCTCCTGAAACCTGCGGCAACACGCTGGTCTCACAGAAAACATGAGTCCTACCGTGTGGTGGTTATAAATCTCTCCGTTGTAGCAGAGCCACAAGAAGGGGAACTTCTTGATGCGCAGGGGCTGCATGCCGTACAGCTGGTCCACGACGGCCAGCCGGTGGAAGCCGAAACAGCAGTTGGTGAAGCCATTGACGTTCTCGAAGCGGAAGGCGTCGGGGCCCCTGTGAGCGATCCTCATGGCGCTGGTGCACTGGACCGACAGACACTCATCACTGCCAAACAAAGCCCAGATTCCACACATGTCTCCGCTGTGTGAAGGGACAGGAAGGAGGGACAGAAGGTTGATTAGGGTGCAGTTTAATACTACTACTACAATGAAACACTGATCATTTAAAACGGTTCAATGCCGTGGCAAACAAACTAAATGTTTGGGCTGCACAACTAATCAAATCAAATCAAGCGCTTCCTCAACCAGCAGTCAGCCAACCACCTGGGGAGGTGGGAGGAGGTGGGAGGAGTCATGCGCCGTCTGCAGTGGACTCTGATGTTAGTAGAAGAGTAGAGACAGACATGAGAACAGAGGACAGAAAGCTAAATTAAATGAATGTGAGGAGAAGTGAGGAGCTGGTCCCTCAAAGGGTCATCATCCGTTGTCTGCAAGTTCTTTGGATTTGGATTTCTTTAACTGATTTTACCAAGAACGAAGCAGAAGTGTGCGTGTCTGCGCCACATAGCAACACAACAAACTTGTTCATCTACCTGAAGAACCACAAACCACAATGAATTAAGGCCAACGTCACCTGGCTGAATCTCCGTCAATGTTGAATGACGTCAACCCAGGAATCCAGAACAGCGACCCTGCCTCCACTGAAATGACGCATGCAATCGCATTTGGCCAAAGACATTTGTCTAATAAACACTATATTAATAAATAATGTTTTTAGTTAGTCCTTTATTTTTGCTAGTTTGTTTGTTTCTCCCGTGATTCCTCTGGTTGAAATAATAAGTCTGATTGTAGAAATCTATGGGAATAAATCAAGAGAGATTTTTTTTCTCAAAGTAAACATGGGTTTGTTTATCTCAATGTCTAGTTTCAAGTCTTCTTCGATTCAGCATGATGTTCTTATTAAATCCATTTGGAGTCAAATAGACCATGAAGCTCGGTATGATTTGGGGCGTACAAGTATCGACAGGTCGCAGCGCTGAAGATACTCCTTCGCATACCAAATAGGTTCACTTACTTTCACCAGTTGCCAAAAGCCAAGATTGCAACCAATTGCCGAACTTGAAGCTTCACAATGGCAGTCCAAAAACCAACGGGTGAGTGTGACTACGTCCAGTTTCCTACCGTGTAGAAGGTCTGCACTACATCCTGCCACTTCTCTACCCAGGGATTATACTTGTGGCATATGCATTGCACATATTGGAAATATCTTTATGTAGTTCATTCTGAACTCATGAGATTTTTCCATCCTGTTAGAGCCCCCCCCCCCCTCTGCCAACCTCCACCTGTCAGTGGATCACAGACCATCTGTTTGCACAGCTGTGGACATTACAGTGGACTTTAGGAGGAGCAGCTCAGGAAGCCTACAATACTACACGTCTACAATAATGCGGCCCCCAAACAGGACGGGGGCAGACGACAACAGTCAGGGGCTTCCCAGAACATCATTGGATTTATACACCTCCAGAAATTCTGGTTTTCACTTATTGTGCCGATAATAATCCTGTTAGTTGTTTCCCCCCAACTTCATAGAGGTGATTCCGATCACAATATGCTGTAAACAACACGGAGCTCCTTTAAATATCCTACCGATCAAAACGTGGACTCGCTCTGACGGTGAAAAGCTTCCGACGTATTAGTGTGTGTTATTCATATTCCCGTATCGTGTGAGACAGGTTCACATCGCAGCATCCTTCTGCGCGTGGGGGCCCACGGAGGCCCACGGGGGCCACAGGCTCGCGACGCGCTCGCGGTGTCGTGCCGGGGTCTCTGTGGACTAACACGCTGCGCGGTGTCTCTCTCAATAGGACACGTTGACACCCAGCTCAGTCACAATTGTCCAGTAGTTATGCGTCAACACTTCTTCTTGAGTAGACTTATTTTAAAACTCTGTTTGAGTAAAAGTCACTATTTCCGCCCAACGTTAACAAACGAGATAGACGTACAGCGCGCGCGCACACACACACACACACACACACACACACACACACACACACTGACGTTAGATAACTTACTTTGTTCTTCAAACGCTTTACTGGCACAACCGATTGAATCAGCAGCGTGTCTCTGATGCGCACTGCATTGCGCAGCCTCTCGTCAGTCGAGACAATAACCGGAATTAGCGAACGAGTTTTCAAAATAAGAGCTTCCAGTCAAGTCAGCGTGTTGAACGAAAAGCAACAATACTGACCACATTATGTCATTGCCTGGTCCAAAGAACACACTACAATCAAACCAGAATACATTTTCAATTTTTTTTTTTATTGCGGAGGCCTTTACGTAGCTGGTACACGTCGCTAATAGCTTGTAATTTTTCGGTAAATTATTTATTTTGAAAGCTGTATCTACAGACGAGAAAGATGTTACTTTAATTTTGCGACATTGACGACGCAGCCTCATGTCTACAGTTACTAAATGTAATGTTGCATCACCTCCAGCTAGTGGGGGACGACATTTAAAATACTTTAATACTTTTAATAATACTCTATTACAAGGAAAAGTCCTACTTGACTACTTGAGTAAAAGCAAGTCGGCCAACAGGGAAAATGGGAGACACGTTGCAGAAATGTGCACTATGCTGACTGCAATGTCTAGTACTTGATGCATCAGGTCTGTCCATATATCTGTCCAAAATCTGTATCATCATGATCAATTAAATTGTTTCAACAATGAACTTGCACATATCACCAAACAAATTAATTATGAACAGCATAACGTCTTCACAATTTACAAATTTTGTCCAAAAAATAATTCAGAACTTTTCATGCTATTCACATCTTTTGCACGCAAAAATCTTTATTATTAAAAAAAAACTATGACTATAATTATTCATATTTAGTGAAGTCATTAAATATGAATAAGATACACCTTAGTGGGAAACAAGAAAACAATAAAGTTGGGACTCACATCGCGCCTTGCAGAGACAATCTACAAACTGGTATCAAATTTTTTACTTTTAAACAATTAACTGTCAGTTCACGATTCAAGTTAAGTACAAGTACCTCTGCTCAGTTCTTGAGTTGTAGAGCAACTAAACAGCTATTTTATTTTCTCCAAATACCACATTTATTTTTACATTTCTACTTTTATTCATTAAAGTTATGTCTAATGTCTTCCCTTTGACTTGCTTACATTGTTATTGCGTTCTCTTTGTACCATGTAAAGGACCTTTGAGTACTCTTTAAAGGGCCAAATGAACAAAGGTATGGTTTTAATGCAATAGAGTTGTGATGTCCCATGAAACAGTTGTGCCCATTGCACTTTTAGTTTAGAGATTCTTAAGAAAAGTACCTAAAGCAATTATGAAAATGTGACATTTATCATCTCCAGAGAAACAAACACAAAGAAGCTACTATGAGTAAACTGCCGCACTGGAGTTCATGCATAAGGAAGTGTTTAATAGTTTCCTGTTTCACCTGCTTACACAGGTACATAACAAAATGATCAAATTCCATAGAAAATCCAACGGTCCTTTGTCTGTTTGGCACCACTTGCCATTGTAAGAGGTGAAGGCAGGGTTAGATTACTGCTACATGAGTCGTCCACTGAGACTCCCAGAAATGTTTCCTTAATCCACACCACCAACATGACCTACAAAACATTTCCACAATCCTGAAGGGAACTCTACACTGAACTTCTTGTAAATTGTGGTTAGGCTGAATCTCCAGTCCTGTGAAAATGTTGAGCTGTTTTTTTTCACCTGATATTTGTGGTGAGAAAAATTGCAATGACAAAACTCTCAAATGTCAGGTTGAGACTACAGCAGTTCAGACATAAGATACATCTGTTTGCTTTTGCAACGTTTGCATGCCTACAATTGTCACAGCATCTTTAAAGAACATGATAAATTGCCACAAGACATTAGACGGATACGAATCTGTGTTTTGTCCCAGACATTCTTTGTCTGCAGTGAGTGCAGCAGAAACCTCAAGGCATCGGTCCAAGGACGGGTATGAGATGTCACATCACACGGCGCTACTTCTACACACACACGTCGTGTAACTTTAGCAGCTTTGTCAGGCTGCAGCTCAAAGCGCTACTTGACTTAGCCCCGGTAAGGGCCATGATGTCAATAACTTAACTTGAACTAGGTTACAACAATTGCCTTCCAAACCTTGCAGAATAGCCAGAGAAAGAATATTCCGATACCAGAGCTGACATCCACCACAATCAAATAAAATAATGTAACTAGGTTTACAATGTGACAAGAAACGTGATGAGTTCAGTCATGAAGATCTGCTGCACACTCAGACTTTTAGTCCGCTCAAACACGACTTTCTCCACTCTAGCTGCACATTCTCAGTTCCAGCGGTCACTCTCAGAAGCCTCATACTGCAGCATCAACATCAACAGTCAAGTTTCAAGCTTAATTTAGTGAGAGAAGCAGAAAGAAAATGTAGGGTTTCAGGTTGAATCCTGAATTGCACCTGAAAATCTATTATCTGTTAAACGTTTATTGACGGGTCATAACTGCAATTCTTAAAAGACAATTCAGTGTTTGTGACGAGGCCGTTCATTCCTCTTAAAAGAACTCAGGTGCTTGTCATTTTTAGAACTCCTGATTTGCCTATGAGTACATTTTAAAACCTTTTAAGAGAGATTGAATTGAATTAGGTATTCAAGTATTGGTAATAGGAAAAGCAAGTGAATTAAGACGATTTGAAGAATTCTCTTTCCCAAAGTCAGTAAAAGTAATTTGGGGACTAATAACATTGAGCAAAAGTTCTTAACTCTATCATAACTGGGCACGACAGCAAAGTCTTGGGGTGTCCAAGGTAAACTGTATAACGAGACCCACTGGCTGTGAATAAGTGTATGTGTGAATAAGAAGGAGAGAGCTGTCAGTTCCCCAAATTTGTGCTTTTGCTCAAGATCCCATTGTTTAAATGGGAACATTATCCTATCTCAAAGAAGACATTTTAATGCATAAACTGTGTATGACTGGGGAAAGTTGTGGAAGACGATTAAGTCAGAAGGTTCCATGTGTTCCTATTTATGAGTCATTCCATGGAATCTACTGAAATTCTGAAGTCATTCTAGAATGTATTTTCCATATACTGCACAACTCTGTTGGCAGACAGACCTATGAAGACTGAAGACACTACTGGAAGCGGAAGAAGACCCCTTATCAAGATACACCAACATCACAAGTAGCCTTTTGCGATTAGTTCAGGTTTCGTGCTTGTTTATTACGGACATAGCAGTGGGAAGACACAGACAGAAAATGTTATTATCGAGGGCAACAAATGGAAAAGGAAATGATCACAGACAGAAGGAACGTCAGGAAAGTCTCTCCTCGATGCCAGTGGTGCCGGTTCTGACTTTGTGGGCTTGCTTGAGGTTTACCTGTTGAGGAAAGTCGATGTTACCTGAAAGGTAAGGATCAGCGTGCTGAATATTGACTTTTGTAATATTGTACCTGCTAAAGTAGCCTTATTTTTTGGCTCTATTCTGCATATGAATATATATGCCACAATCCAAAACTCACACTAATGTATGAGGGGTCGTTGAGGACTTAACTACTGAAATACTCACTAATGAAACACTCACACATACATACTGTGTAAACAGTGGCGTGTAGCGTGTGTTTTAAACTTGTTGCTCTCTCCCTCCCCCTTCAGGTGCTGAGTCTGCGGTGGTGGATTGATGTCCCAGGCGGTGGTGTCCCTTTTATGTTATGTTTTTTTGAATGTTTAGTGACACGAGGCGTGATGTATGGGTGAGGGCAGTTTAAATATTATAATGTTGCCAGACAACGCCACCCTGGGAATTGTTTTGAATCTTCAACCAAACAAAACTAAAGGGAGGCAATCAGCTTCGTCGCAAATGAGGCAGAGACGCAATTTACAGTACAAAATGTAATTTTATTAAATTCACAGTTTAAAAACAAGGGTAAAAAACCCTCACTCTGGGACAAGCAACGGGGGAACCAATCAGGGCTGAGATTTACGATGATGGACTGTCCAAAGAAAAGGGGACGCAAGGAGCACCATACGTGAAACAACTAAAAGTGAAGCAACTCAAACAACATGCAAAACATAACAGGGACACCACCACCTGGGACACCAATCCACCACCGCAGACTCAGCACCTGAAGGGGGGGGGAGACGAGAGCAACAGGTTTAAAATAAAAGAAACTAAACCAAAACAGAAAAATAATTAGATTTAACCAAAAACTATACTAATAAAACACCGACAAACGGCTTAACCAAAGCTTAACCAAATCACAAAATAAAGAAAATAACAAATTGACAGACAAATAACAGAGGATCCAAACAAATAAGTAAGGCCTGTCTCTCGTACAGTTAAAATGTGTCTTAACCCAGTCAGGAGGCCAAAACAAAGCAAACCCAAACAGGGTAAATACAGCTAAAAGCAAGGCAGACCCAAACGGGATTACTTTAACCAACACGAGGCAAAGCAGTTTAGCCAAAAGGAAAAGAAACAGGGATACTTTAACCAAGAGAAGGCAAGCAACTTGGCCAAAAGGCAAAGCAAAGCAAACCCGAACAGGGTTAGTTTAACCAAGGTAAAGCAAAGCAGTTTGGCCAAAAGGCAAAGCGAAGCAAACCCGAACAGGGTTAGTTTAACCAAGGTGCTCTGAGGCCGCCTTTGTACAGCATTGTCATGCAGCGATTGGCTGTGATCCAGACCCAGCTGAAAGTTATTAGGACCAATCACTGCATACTGCCACAATCTTCCCCCTGTAATTAAATTGTCGTCCCGACGATGGAATAACCACAAGCTAAACTTCAACTCCAAGGCCTAAATAGTGCGGCAACTGCGTTAGACACAGGGCCAGGATGATTAACACCTACTCGTTCAGCCCCCCCTGTAGGCTGTGGTAGGCGATGGATGTTAGAGTGATGGCCTGCAGTTGACCTAGTGGTCCGGCTGACAGCAGCACCTTCCAGAACAGGGAAAGAAGCTGTCCTTGTTGCCGGAACCACCGACGAAGGTGGCACAAAGGAGACCGGGTCAGGCGGTGGAACCAGCTGGCGAGGGGTGGTTTGAGCCACTGCTTCTGCCTGAAAGGTAGACAATGGGTTCTCCGGCCCCAATACTACCCAATCTCCATCACAAGACAGCTCATCCTCTGACTGAGGTGGCGCAGGAGGAGAGGAAACGCTGGCACTGC